CAGGAGGGCAAAGGGGGGGGGGGGCGACACCGACAGGGGAGGGGGCTCCAACAACGTTTGCGGTCTGTTGTGCGAGGCGGGGATTGATCCGTCACCACCGCCTGTTCTGCGAGACCTTGGCGAGCGGTGGATGTGGACATGCTTGTCCCTGGTCCAGGCACCAATCTATTCTTAGGTCGGGCCTGTCCCCCTACAGGGGGATTTTGGACGAAACATAAAAAAAGCCAAACACGCGCGCGCTTCGCGCGCGAGTAGGTTCTAGCTAGGAGGCGAGCTTGAGTCAACGAAAGTCGCAGGGAAGGGGGCAGGGGGAAGAAGGCCAGAGAGCGCTGAAGGATACAAATACTGGAACCCTCTTGTGATTTTGTGGGGGGCCTCGTCCGGCCGCTCGCTTGGAGTTTGACGTAGCTTCTCGGGAGCCTCTGAACCTGTCGGGGGCCTCCTGGAAGCAGGTTCGAAGCAGGGTCTCCTGGGGCCTCTTGAGGGGCCTCCTTGGGGCCTCCTGGCGGCCTCTTGGGGCGGAAGGCTCGAGCTTGCGGTTCGTGGTCCCCCTCTGGGCCCCCTCTTGGGCCCGTCTTGGGGCCCTCTTGGGCCATCTTGGGCGCCTCTTGGGCCGTCTTGGGGCCCTCTTGGGCTGTCCTGGGGCCCTCTTGGAAGCTTCTTGGGCCGTCTTGGGGCGGTCTTGGAGGCCTCTTGGGCCGTCTTGGACGCGGTGAAAGCCCAAGATGCGAACATGCGAAAAATATACGTTTTCCCATAGGAATGGCACGATTTTTGTTTCTTGGACCTCTCTTGGGGTGCCTCTCGGAACGTCTTGGGCTGATTTTGGAAGCCTTTTGGCGCCTCTGGGCGGCGTTTTGGCGCCTCCTGGGATATGTTGGGCCGGAAGCTCGGAATTCGAGAGTGGCTTTCTCCTTCTGGGACCCCTCTCGAAGTCGTCTTGGGGTTCTCTTGGGCCGTCTTGGGGCCGTCCTGAACCACTCGTGCGCAGCCTTGGAGCGCTCCCGGAGGCCTCCTAGGCCGTCTTGGAGGCCTCTTGGGCCGTCTTGGACGCGGTGAAAGCCCAAGATGCGAACATGCGAAAAATATACGTTTTCCCATGGGAATGGCACGATTTTGTTTCTTGGACCTCTCTTGGGGTGCCTCTCGGAACGTCTTGGGGTGCTTTTGGAAGCCTTTTGGCGCCTCTTGGCGGCATTTTGGCGCCTCCTGGAGCCTCTTGGGCCGGAAGCTCGGAATTCGAGGTTGGCTTTCTCCGTCTGGGACCCCTCTCGAACTCGTCTTGGGGCTCTCTTCGGCCGTCTTGGGGCCGTCCTGGGCCACTCGTGCGCAGCCTTGGAGCGCTCCCGGAGGCCTCGTAGACCGTCTTGGGCGCCTCTTGGGCCGTCTTGGACGCGGTGAAAGCCCAAGAGGCGAACATGCGAAAAATATACGTTTTCCCATAGGAATGGCACGATTTTTGCTTCTTGGGCCTCTCTTGGGCTGCCTCTCGGAGCGTCTTGGAGGCTTCTGGGACCTTCTTGGTGTCATGACAGGCGTCTTGGAAGGCATCTGGAGCCATCGGAGCGCGTTCCGAAGCCGCCTGCGAACGATCTTGGACGGCGTCCGGCGGTCCGACGAGCCTCCGGGCCCCCCGGGGCCCACATTTGTGGTCGGGGTCCCGGCCCTGGGCCCCCGGACCCGGTGCGCCGTTATATGTATAAACAACGGTCAATGAATCCGCCGACCCCTTGTGGGTCTCTAGGCGTGTGAGATTGTTCCCCCCCCATAATTCCCCCCTGGGGACCCCAAACCGGCAATTTGACCCCCCCCGGCCGGGTTCGACCCACCCCCGGCTGGCTTCGACCCACCCCCGAACTCATCCGAGGGGGTTCGGCTCCCCGGGCTCGTTCTGGAGCTCCAAAACAGCCCATGAGGCTCCCAAGACACCCCCAAGACGGTCCAAGATGCCTCCAAGACGCCCCAAGAGGCCGCCGAGACACCCCAAGAGGCCTCCAAGAGGCCCCAAGAGGCCTCCAAGACGCCCCAAGAGACCTCCAAGACGCCCCAAGAGACCTCCAAGACGCCCCAAGAGACCTCCAAGAGGCCCCCAAAGAGGGCCCCAAGAGGCAAAACTCGTTGATGTTCATTTGTTATTTTCGATGTTTTTCGCATTTTCGCCTTTTCGGCTTTCCGACGCTCCAAGACCGCCCAAGAAGCTCCCAAGACCGCTCCAAAACGGCCCAAGAGGCCCCCACGACGCCCCCAAGACGGCCCAAGAGGGCCCCCAGACGGCCCAGGAGCCGCCCAAGGCGGCCCAAGAGGGCCCCCAAACGGCCCAAGAGCCGCCCAAGACGGCCCAAGAGGCTCCCGAGACGGGCCCAAGAGGGGCTCCAGAGGGAGACTACGAACCGAAAAATCCAGCCTTCCGCCCCAAGAAGCCCCAAAGAGGCCCCAAGAATCTCCCAAGAGGCCCTCAAGACGCTCCAAGAGGCCCCCAAGATGCCAAAACGATGCCCAAAAGAAGCCCCAAAACGGCCCCCAAGAGCCTTCGAAACTGCCTCCAAGAGGCCCGCGAGAAGCCCCCCCGCAAGATCCCAACGGACATCCCCGAACGCGCCGGTTTTTCGAGTCGCGTCCAGCCGCGGCGACGAGCAGGGCATCCGCAGGCGAGGCCTCCTTCTTGGGGCCTCAGGTCGCGCTCGCGCCTGACACCTCCCTCCTCTCCTCCTGCTTCTCACTTGTACTTGCGCGCGCAACCCCTTCCTCTCGTCACTCACGCGCACTCCTTCTGCTCCTCTTCCTCCTCCTCCTCCTCCTCCTGCTCCTCCTCCTCCCCTTCCCCTTCCCGTAGCCATTTTGGCTCAAGAAGGACAGCCGTTCTGGCTCAGGCAATTGGGGCCTGGGCTTGCAGCAGCATGCCTCTTCAGAACGGCCGAGTGCTGTTGCGGGCCTTTTTGGCTTGGTCTTTCAGTGAGCTCCTGGCGGAGCAGTGCAGTCAACGAGCCCCTCGGGGCATTCCTCATGGCCAATGGCGGCGCCGAAGTCCTCCCTGGACCGCGGGCGCCCACATAGGCCTACACCCCTCACGCAGATCCGCGGGGTCAGGGTCCAAAAACACAGGGGATTTGCCATATTTCTGAAATTCTGCGCCACCCCTCACGCAGATCCGCGGGGTCAGGGTCCAAAAACACAAAGGATTTGCCACATTTCTGAAATTCGGTGCCACCCCTCACGCAGATCCGCGGGGTCAGGGTCCAAAAACACAATGGATTTGCCACATTTCTGAAATTCGGCGCCACCCCTTACGCAGATCCGCGGGGTCAGGGTCCAAAAACACTTGGGATTTGCACCATTTCTGAAATTCGGTGCCACCCCTCACGCACATCCATCGCAAGGCGTGGTAACCCAAACTGCGAGAACTCCCTCGGCCCTTTAATCGCAAGGTGTGGTAACCAAGCCCTTAAACCATACACGTCTTACCAATCGCCAGGTGTGGTAACCCCTCTTGTGATCAGTTGGTTTTGCTGATTGCGACTCGGCTTCGCATGAAGTTTCGATACTGCTTCACGACAGCGCCAAGGCCTCATGACTTAGCTCTTCCATGGCCCATTCTCCGAGAGAGGGGGCCGGCGGCAGGGGCGAAGCCCTTAAGGATTAACGCGGAGAAGACATTCAACGTATCTGAAGTCGGTAATTCTGTCGGGATGACAAAAAATAACGGCATTCTCGAGTGCAACTCAAACATTACGCTCTGGTCGACTTGTGCGGGATTTGGGCGAGCAAATCAGGAGGAACGCTGTACTGGCCCCATAATTGTTTGCGACCCATCACGGCCACGAGGACCGGGTCCCTCACGACAAAACGTGCTTCAAGAAAAACATTAGAACAAGACGCTGTAAAGGTGAGGTCGAAACAAAAACACGGCGGCCGCAAGGACGCGATAGCGAGGCGTATGCCCGAGGGCCCCGACGCCCCGCGCCCGCCCCCGCAGGGGCCGTGCGAGTGGTAGGAGATGACCCCGTGGGGTCCGGCCTGCCGGCCAAAATGCCACTCGAACGCGTCCAACGTGACTGAAGGCGCCGATCCCGGAGAGACCACAATACGGCCACTCTCTGACCCGTGAACGTCTCCATACAGGATCACCGGTTTAGCTCCCCCCTCCCATGGTTGTCCAACTGTTGACCGGCCAAAGCCCATGGGCAAGTGCGCAAGGCCTGCATGTAGAACACGAAATAATGCCACCGCCGGCAGTAGCTCCCACCACCGGGAGAGATCGAACTTAAGGGTCGTCTCGTCCCCCACGGCCGCTGTAAGTGTCGTGAGGCGAGGAGTTTGAAATACGAGGAGGAGCCCACTCCTCGGCGGCCAACAGCACTGCCTTCGGCACGATGAGCAACGTGGCCAGGCTCCCACCTCGGTGAAACAAGCTTCGGTTATGACGAAGTTGCAGGGGAGTTGGTCGATACAAGGGTGAGCCTCGTTAAGCCTCCTGTACAACTTGCATCGCTTCTCTTGCCACCGTAAGAGGTTCCCCACTGGCAAGTGGCCCTGACTGATGAAACGGGCCTGCCACAAAGGTCCACTGCGGCTGCTCAGTCCAAAACACCGTCCCACGCAACGTCATCATGGTGATTGTTGTAAAACTCTGAACAGCATGAACCGCCTCCAAAAAATGTGTCTCCCTTTTGAAACGCACAGGGTCTGCTACCGTCGATTCCTGACTTTGAATGGTTGCCACTCAGCCATTTCAGCGCTATTTCACTCCAATTGAAAGTGGGTTGTCTTACGTACGGACCAGGCTTCACATTCAGCAGCTGGCTTTGCCACCCTGGTTCCACGGTCAACACTGGATACTGCAATGTGAACAAGCACTGAGGCTCAGCAAAAGATTGGCCACCCAAGCGTTTCGCCATGAGCTTTAATGACTGCGCACCTGGATGCGTATGAGAAGTAAGGCTGTGTGGATCAAACGAGCCTGTCCCTGGTGCTTGGAATTCTTTCGAGAGGAGTGCAGTGGTTCAAGGTGCCAAGTTGTACCCTATCTGTCCTGTACGAGTGCCTTCCCAAAAAACGTTGCTGAACGGCCGGAAACCGTAACGCTTATCAGCATCAATCACAAGATCCATATTGATCACTAGCTTGTATTCCACAGCCTTCCCCGCCAATCGATCATCATCAAGCCGCACTCCACACTTGACTCTGGTCTGAGCGGGGTAATACCTTGCCCAACCGTCTGTCCCATTCAGTATATCGTAGCGCTTGCGGTGCTTGTTCATGCCAGTAGCGCCAGCCGTGTCTAAAAAAGAAGCCTGGTGCTCAAACACATCCTGCTCATACCACTCGTCTGCCATATTGGTCATGCACACGATGTGATGCACGTGAATGGGAGGCCACAAAAAAACCTCGGTATCCGTCTTATCTGTGACCACTGCGTGTGACGACTTCAACCAGAAACCATCGTCAGGCGTTGGAAAAGGCACGCCCTCGTTGATCCCTAGCTCTATGCTCTTGCCGGGACCGAGAATGAAATCAAACTTGACTGTCCACTGCTCGGAGCCCTCTAACCCCCTTATAGCCTGCGTGCACTTGTCGACATAGAAATTATTGTGCTGGGCGTTGCGGTTCACCAGGAAATTCGTAACTGGACAGCTGAAGGCGAGCTGGAAGTACGCAGTGAAACAGCACACATCAAAAAAACATCGGGGTCCGCATGGTGATGGGCAGCCACGCGATGATGAGAGCTTGCGCGTTGCAGCCAGAGCCACCGTGAGACAAAATGGCTACGGATCATGAGCGTCGGGATCATGAAACGCGGGCTTCGGCTGTTGCATGAGGTTCAGGGTGACAAAGCCTGCTGCATGAGCTTCGGGCCAGCAGGACGTGAGGACGCCTCAAGCGAAACGCTCGGGCCAGCTCACGGACACGTCTGGCTCTGCGACAGGGAGGAATCACCTCTTGAAGGGACGAGGGGCTTGTATCAAGTCGGGCCCGTCCCTCTACAGAGGGGATATCCAAAAATAATCAAAAAAATGATATGGGGACTATGTTTGAATATTTGTTTGGCCATTTTGGATTTGTTTGTATTTTTCCCAACCCTCCTGCGTTGGGTACTCGTTTTGAATAGAGCACTGCGGTCTCCACCTTCCTTCCTTCCTTCCTTCTTTCCTTCCTTCCTTCCCGCCTCCTCCCGCCTCCTCCTCTCTTCTCTTGCGGGCGGGGCTGCGATCTGTGAAACTGTCGCCACTTTCGAGGCCTGCTGGGGGCCCAGCGGAGTGACGCCCTACGGGGATTCAGATTAGACCTCGCCATCCCTGGGGGGCTGCGATCTGTGAAACTGTCGCACGCCCTACGGGGATTCAGATTAGACCTCGCCATCCCTGGGGGGCTGCGATCTGTGAAACTGTCGCCACTTTCGAGGGATGCTGGGGGGCCCAGCGGAGTGACGCCCTACGGGGAATCAGATTCGACCTCGCCATCCCTGGGGGGCTGCGATCTGTGAAACTGTCGCCACTTTCGAGGGCTGCTGGGGGGCCCAGCGGAGTGACGCCCTACGGGGATCAGATTAGACCTCGCCATCCCTGGGGGGCTGCGATCTGTGAAACTGTCGCCACTTTCGAAGCTGCTGGGGGGCCCAGCGGAGTGACGCCCGGGGGGACCTCGCCATCCCTGGGGGGCTGCGATGTGAAACTGTCGCCACTTTCGAGGGATGCTGGGGGGCCCAGCGGAGTGACGCCCTACGGGGAATCAGATTCGACCTCGCCATCCCTGGGGGGCTGCGATCTGTGAAACTGTCGCCACTTTCGAGGGCTGCTGGGGGGCCCAGCGGAGTGACGCCCTACGGGGATCCTCGCCATTCCTGGGGGGCTGCGATCTGTGAAACTGTCGCCACTTTCGAGGGCTACTGGGGGGCCCAGCGGAGTGACGCCCTACGGGGATTCAGATTAGACCTCGCCATCCCTGGGGGACTGCGATCTGTGAAACTGTCGTCACTTTCGAAGGTTGCGTGGGGGGCCCGGCGGAGTGATGCCCTACGGGGATACAGATTAGACCTCGCCATCCCTGGGGGGCTGCGACCTGTGAAACTGTCGCCACTTTCGAAGGCTGCGTGGGGGGCCCAGCGGAGTGACGTCCTACGGGGACTCAGGTTAGACCTCGCCAGCGCTGGGGGGCTACGATCTGTGAAACTGTCGCCACTTTCGAGGGCTGCTGTGGGGCCCATGAAACTGTCGCCACTTTCGAGACCTGCTGCGGGGTCCAGCATAGTGACGTCCTACGCGGACGCAGATTGGACCCGTCATTCTACTTCGATTATCCCGCATCTGCGATCGACTGCATGTGTGCGAGGAACTAGACATGGAGTGGTCTGGCACTGACTGACGTCAAATCGTTGTGTGCCAGTGTATCCTGGGGTGTTGCCTGATGTGGATGCAGCTCGTCGGCGCTGCGAGCGAGCTGGCGGCCGCCTTTCGGACCCGCAGAAACATCTGCTGAGCTCGACGAGCAAGGGGAACTACAGGAAAGAAGTGCAGGAAACGGAGGCCGGTCATTAAGGGGAAAACAAACCTACCTCGCTTTTGACCACCCTCGCTTCCAAGAGATACCAAACGATGCCAAACTACGGCCTGTACTGGTCAGGCCGCTTGACGAGGAGGCGCGTGGTATGACTTGGTTCTTCCTGGAAGCGAAAGCGGGGTAGGTATTTCACGCTCCGAGTCATGCACTCGCCGATACCTCGTTGCTCTGTCATCGTCTTTGCTGTTGCATGATCCTTATCTGGCCTGCCGGCGCCGCGGCTCGAACTGGCGGTCGCCCTTCGGGCCCGCGGGAACATCTTCTGAGACAAGTGGACGCCGCCGCCTTACTTGCAGGCAGCGCATTGCACTCGCGGACAGCAGCATGGCAGACCGCAGTGAGATCCTCAGTCGCGTGGTGTTGCCAAGCCTGGTGGAGACGCGCGTGATCGACCTGAAGTCCCAATCGCGCGTGCACTGTACCTGCGTGGCGTTCAGGCACGCGCGTGATGCTGCTCGCTCCGCGTTCAACCAGTACGTCGCCAGTGCAACTTTGGACGATGGACAACCGATTGATGATACGCGACCCCGGCCTTGAGTTTTTTCCCGCGGGCCGCCCGCAGACCTGGCGGCGCGCCTGCGGGCGTTCAGCTCCCGCGCTGAAATGTGCGGGAAGGAGGCGGAGAAGCTAGCGGGCGAGCTACGCCTCGCTCGTTCCTTGCACTCTAAACAAGTTTTATCATGTGGAACTCTGCGACGACATGGCGCAGGCAGCGCTGCGGGTTTAGCTCGCACTTGAAAAACGCGGCAGTCTTCTGTCTCCTCCCGCCACTTTCATCGTCGTCCTATTCCCCGCCTCACCTTCTCCATGCATGCTGCTGCTTCCGCGATGGCCTTTCGCCCCCCCCGCCCTCCATTCCATCCCTCTCCTACCCCTCGTTCCCGTACCCGTTCTTCTTCGATCCTGGGGCCTCAAGCCTCGTTCTTTCGATCGTCGTCCTGTGAATCGTGCAACGCATGCGCATCCCATGTAGCTTGCACAGCAAATCGCCGCGTCTACACTGTCGTTGTTCCTGCTATTGTTGGCATACTCCTCTTGCCATTTGATGCACGTGGGTTGGGTACGTCGCAGGGTATTTATTTTTCGTCGAAAATGCACGCCCTACGTAAGGCTTGTAGCAGGGGAAGGTGACCGGTGGTCCTGCAGCCTCGTGGCCCGCGCCACCGCGGCGTCGTGGGGCCCCCGCGCCCCACCAACCCACCAGCTGGCCATCCCTCGGGCGTCCGTTTCCCGTGCACGGGCCGCTGGCGTGCGCGTGTGTTTCTGCTCGACGATCTCGGATTTGGAGGCAACTGCTGGGAGGTTTTCGTCGGACAGATCAAGGAGGATTAAGCCCCATTTGGGAGCTGTTACGCCGGAATGGGCCTCCGATCAGGCGGGATTAAGCCAGATTGAGCGGGATAAAACGGGATTAAGTCGGATTAGCCGGGATTAAGCGGGATTAAGCCGGATTGAGCGAGATTTCGGACCAGGGCAAAATCAGAATTTGTCCTCCAAGGAGTTGCAGCCGAACTTGGATGCTCCTCGACGGTCCCCGCAGGAAAAAAGAAATGCGCATGCCCGAGCGATGCCAAGCCAAAGGGCTACCGGGCTTCCGCCTCCCAGTGGTGCACGGTTTCCCCTGGGGCCGCAGGCGACCCGAGGAGGAGGAGGAGGAGGAGGAGGAGGAGGAGGAGGAGGAGGAGGAGGAGGAGGAGGAGGAGGAGGAGGAGGGAGGAGGAGGAGGAGGAGGGGAGGGGGAGGGGGAGGGGAGGGGGAGGGAGAGGGGGAGGAGGAGATGGGGATGGAGGGGAGGAGGAGGAGGAGGACGAGGAGGAGGAGGAGGCAGGAGGAAGCAGGAGGAGGAGGAGGAGGAGGAGGAGGAGGACGGGTCGCCTGAGGATTCCAGGCCGAAGACCGCCAGAGGAGGCCCTGGCACGAGGCGCCCCCCGGCTCTTCGCGCCGCGCCAGAGGCCTCTGGGGCCCTCTGCCCGACCAATGCTCAGATTTAGGTCGGGCATGTCCCCCTACAGGCGGATGTTGGAAAACTTCAAAATAGCCACACACACACACACACACACACACACACACACACACACACACACACACAAATACAATACAAAATAGCCACAAAATTATTAAGCATTCGTCCCCTGACTATTTTTTGACTATTTCTGGATATTCATCCTGTAGAGGGACATGCCCGACTCAAGCTCAGATCTTCCCACCACCTCCTTGCGTCGCGAAAACAGCACAACGGCGTAGCGCTGGGCAATTCTGAGCTCTGAGGTCCCCTGCAGAGCCAGTCCCCCAGGGCCTCCCTGCCCAAAGATCCAGCACATCGAAACAATCGAGGCGGCCGGGTTGTCCCTGTTTAGCCTAGAGGCCGGTGTCGGGCCCCGGGACCGTGAAAAAACTTCTTGGGACGAAAACCAGCCCTGAAGGGTTCGAGAGTTCCAGAGGCCCTGTGGGGAATGGGGGGTAGCCTCCATTGAAGGCGGATCAGTTTTCAGAAAGGCTCGGAGGGTTCTGAGGCATCTCACAAGGCCGGAGGACCTCAAGTCCAAGAATTGTGTTCCTGTCGTACTTACAAACCACATCCTAGAAATACTCTCCGGCACCCGTAGAAATATCGAAACAATGTCTGCCCGTCACGCTGGCGAAGTGTCGAACGAGCGTCGCATCCTGGGGCCCGACACGTGCAAGCCCTCCAGTTTCGGTATACTCTCTGGTATCCGAAACCCTTTCTTGAAGGGGCCCTGGGACACACAAATAAATACACACAAATAACAGGATTCCCCATATTATCCTATATTTTCTGGGTCTCTGTCTTCCCCCCCACTTCCGATACTTTCCCATATTTTCGGGGGAATCGACAATTAATTGTGTCTGTGTGTTTTTGTTCCCTCCAGATGCCTGGCGATCAAGGCAAGATTGGGCTGGAACATCACAGTCTGAGAAGCCCTCCCACCTTTTTGGAAAGCCGCCCCCCCTCGCCCCCCTCCCAAGACACCCGACGCTTCCGCTTGGTCGATGCCCAGGCCCCCCGGACCCTTTCGACCCCTGCCCCACAACAGGCTCTTCGCCCTGGGCCGTGCTTTTGCTGCTGACCTGGCCCCCGATGTCTGCGCGCCCTCCTGGCTTGGCGGCGCGCAGAGGGGGCAGGGGGAGGGGGGAAGGCTTCTTAGAAGGAGCCTGCTTCTTAGAAGGCGCAGGTCTCAGATCTACAGAGGAAACCCGCGCCTTCTAAGAAACAAAAGTGCTTCTGACCCCATACCCCCCTTCCCCCCTTCTGCGCGTGTCCGATACCACTCTATGAAAACAAAACACTAGCTCCTTCTCGTCGCTGCCCTTGCCGTCCCGGCCCCGGTCTCCGCCGCCTCGCTGGGAGCGGCTGCGGCCGACTCTGGCACGGTTGTCGCGGCCGCGGTCTTCGCGGTCGCGATCCCGCTCGCGGTCGCCACGGCCACCGCCCGAGCCACGGTCGCCGTTCCGGTCACTGCTGCGGTCCCTGTCGCGGCTTCGGTCCTTCGGCGGCGCCGCGCGGGCGGGGAGGAGCAAGAGAGGCCTTCTAAGAAGGCAGAGGCTTCTTAGAGGCCGTCTTGCCCTCCGGGAAACCTTCTTGGAAGCCTCCGGACCCCGCTGAGGAACACCCAGTTCATCCAGAGGTATGTGACCACCTCCACCGCTGGGTCCAGGACTGACGCCCCGATAGGTGGCCACCCAACACAAGGGACGTTGGCCACCGCAGGAGGTTTCCCATTGGAACCCAGCGGTGGAGGACAACTACTTGGTGACGCCCTGTTTCCTCAGAAAGCCCCCCCCCACGCCCCACCCCAGTTTTCGCGCCGCCGACCTTGTCGCGGCTCCGGTCCTTCCGTAACTCGTCGCCGCGCTTGTTACTGCGATCTCGCCGGCTTCTGGCGTCGTCGCGCTTTCGTGCATCCGTCGGGGCCTTGTAGTCCAACGGTAAGTGAGAAGGTTCCCCTTCCGCTTAATTTTCCCCGTCCCCCCGTCCTGTCTTGGGTACGGTTTTTGGGGTTGGGCTGGCACGGGAATGCCAAAATGACGTTCGGGCACTTTTGGGCGTCCAAATTACGTCCCGACGGCAGTAAAGCGTCGCCCACAACCCAAACAATCAGTGAAACAACGAAAACTCGACATTACGAGGCGCCAAGAAAACCCCCCATGTTGAAAATATCCTGACAACCTGTTTGTGTGGATATTCTTCTCTTCGGCGTAGAATGGATACAAAAGTATAAGCCCAGAGAGAACCCAGCAACATACCAAGAGTGCCTTGAAGCCGCGCTGGACGGTCGCAGACGTCCGCCGACATGCACCCTTGACGGCCTGATCGGATGATTCGCAGCAACCAGGACAACCCCAAAAACTCCTGGATGGCCCACGTTCTGACCAGAGTGGACACCACAGCGTGAGATATTGCACTCTCGATGTGCAAGATATGTAGCGCCAGACGTGCACGCTGCGATATAGTATAAACACACGAAATACAGCACGCGTGGTGCGACGCATGCTGTGCAATCTACGCAGCGCGATCCACTTCGTAACCCATGACGTCGCCCACTCCAAAGCTCGCGCAAACATCCCGCCCCCCTTTCACAGACTTTGATTTGCAAAACCCATGCGGCTGCGTTTGCGGCGATTGCGTGGCACTGGATGGCGCGTTTCCGCGGCACCGCTGGCGCGAGCAGGCTCAAGCGCAACGCGGCCAGCTACTTCGCCGCGGTGGCGTCCACCACCACTTCCCCAGTGCATCTCCGAGGCTGGGCTGGCGCGCGAGATATTCACCGCAGCGGGTCGGCAACCTCGGCGGGCGCGGTATCATGGCGACGCCGACAACGACGATGACAGTAGCGATGGTGGCAGCGACGACGGTGACGACGACGGCAATGCCAACGATGACGCCGATGCTGGCGACAACGATGGCGACGCCAATCTCTGTGCGTCAGTGACGAAGGCGGTGAAATTGATCGAATGGCGATGGCGGCAGTGCAAATATAGACGTCAAACGCGCGACCTGTCATCTACCCCCTAAGCCCGAGCAAACGCGCCCGCCCCCCCCCCCCCCCTTCGCTGCAGCGCATGCGATAGCGAACAGCAGCGGCGGACGGTCATGCCACCCTCGACCGTTCATCAAAACACCTCACACGGATCCAACGCTCACCCAGGGAAAGAAGACTTGCTGAAGTACACACAGCGGATCGGCGGAGCAAAAAAAACTAAACACCATAAACCAAAAAACAAGACAGTAACCTGACGAAGGACCCAACCACTGCAACAGCGAGTGCCGCATTGTGGGTACTGCTTTCGGTGGGGCCCCCTATGGGGCCACGAAGCGTGCGATGGGGCGCGCCGAAATCGGTGGCGCGGACGAACCCGGACCCTGCCACTGGAGCCTTCGGTGGAAATCCTCATGGGGCCACGAACCGCTGTCCTGGGTGGCGGTGACGCATGCGGACACTGCCACTGGAGCCTTCGGTGGAGCTCCCTATGGGGCCACGAAGCGTTGTCCTGGGCGGCGATGACGCATGCGGGCGCTGCCACTGGAGCCTTCGGTGGAGCTCCCTATGGGCCACGAAACGCTGTCCTGGGTGGCGGTGACGCATGCGGACCCTGCCTCTGGAGCCTTCGGTGGAGCTCCCTATGGGGCCACGAAGCGCTGTCTTGGGTGGCGGCGACGCATGCGCCTGCCACTGGAGCCTTCGGTTGAGCTCCCTGTGGGGCCACGAAACGCTGTCCTTGGCGGCGGCGACGCATGCGAACCCTGCCACTGGAGCCTTCGATGGGGATTCCCATGGGGCCACGAAACGGACGCTGTCCCGGGTGGCGGTGACGCATGCGGACTCTGCCACTGGAGCCTTCGGTGGAGCTGCCTATGGGGCCACGAAGCGCTGTCCCGGGCGGCGGTGACGCCCCCATGAAGCCCGAAAGAAACCCCAGGAGGCCCCAGAACTGCCAACATGAGGCCTCGAAACTGCCCCTATGAGGCCCCCGAGAAACCCCCGCCCACCCCCCGCGAGACCAACGGACATCCAATAAGTTTTATACCCGCAGCCCAAGCACGGTGGCGGGATGGGTCTAAGGCCACTCCAGATCTCATCGTTATATGACCAACCATTTCTCGATTCACGCGCGCTGCGTCGCCGCCCATCTCGCCGACAGCACCGCGGTAGCGAGGCTCGCGCAACGCGTGCCAGTCGGACGACGCGGCACCCAACGCACATCTGATCTCCGAGGTTAGGGCGCAGCCCACTGTCTCGCCCCCCACCCCACCCCGCGCCCACAAGCGCACGGCCCTCCACTGTTTGGCAGACGCCCTGGGAATGTTCGCCCCGGCACTGGCCGCTCGCGAGCCGCGCGACGCCCAACGTCTCGGGCCACTGCCTCAGCTTCGCGCCGTCGCCATGGCATGTAGTTTATATGTATATATATATATATACAAACGCATGCATACATACATACATGCATTACAAATGCAGATGCATCGCCAACCTGCTTTCGACCTGCCGATGCACGTCGCGGATTTCGACGCGCGCGCGGCCTCCACCTCCTGGCACAGGTCGTCGCTGCTCGAACAATTCCCCCATCGGCATTTCCACGCCGTGGCCCTCGCTGCCCCGGTCGCGCCGCGCAGGCAAGCGATGGGCCACGGGGCGCCACCGAGAACGGGAATACTTTCCACCGCTATGAACCAGATGGAGGCGCGAACTCCATGCTCCGCCATTGGAGAGAGCATTGGAACCAGTACTTGACCCGACGGAGCAGCAGTCCTCTGCGCGCCACTTCTCCCCGCTCGGTGATCGCTGATCGCCCACCTCGTCGCGGTAGGGGGCCCCGCGTACTCTGCGTCGCCTTCTCTCTCGTCGTCGCACAAGCAGTCGCCCCCGCTGTCGCACCCCATCAGCCTGCAACGCAGACGCCTCTGCGCCACCCCCTCGGCTTCGTCGCGCGTCTCCAGCAGCGCGCGCCGGTCCATCATCGCGTCGAGGTGGGCCACCTCCACGGCCGCAATCTCTGGCCCCGCGAGCTCCCCCCCGCGAACTGAGGGCGACCTCGCATCGGGCCCTAGCGGCAGTCACCGCCGCGCGCGCATAGCCGCCCGATAACCTCAGCGAAGCAGCCCACCAGCATGTGCCCAATATTGCCCCAACCTACAATCTCGAGCGATTGTCCTAACATAAAAGCTTCCACCGACAGTCAATGGTCGTTTTACGGATATCCAGCACCCCGCAATTACATCGCGCAAGCCCTCGCAGCCCGACGCGAACAAGCACCTGACCGGACAGGTTTTGCGCGCCACCCCTTCGGGGCCTTTGTCGGAGCACATGTGGTCCGCTAGGGCCGAGGCCGGCGTGCCCACTGGATCTGCGCGTGAGCGGGCATCATCTAATCGCGCGACTCAGACTGCCCCAGGATTCTGGAAGACCGCCAGTCAACGCAGACGCCGACCCCCACGTCGCCAAGAAGAGCGAAGGAAGTCCCTCCTGCGAGGACCGCCTCGGTAAGTAATCGAACACGCGACCCGCCACGCGCGGCGCAATTCTCATCCCGCAGTCGAGCCCAGCCGAATACCCGACCAACGGACGCGCATTCCTCTGGATCCTCCGCGCCGCCGCGCTGAAGTCCTGCAAGCCCGTCGCGGTCAGGCCCCCAAGCGCGGATGCAAGACGCGAGGCCTCGGGCGCCCCCCCCCCCCTCCCCCCGCCCCGCCCCGCCCTGCCCTCGCGGCGACGTCGACGCCGCGGCCCACCCACTGCTGGCGCGATCTGCCGCGGGTCGCGATCCTCTTCGACGCCGCCAGAAACGATCGCCTCGCGACGATCGCCCATGATCTCGGCCGCCCCGGGCCCTCCACGTCGAAGCCCATGAAAGTCGTCGGCGCGCGGCCGCGCGATCCCCAATGGCTCGCCCACCATTTTGCGCCCGACGCAGGTCGCTGGATCGAAGCTTAGACCTCCCCATCCTAGTTCGACGAACATCCCGCGCAAAGCGACACACCGCGCTTTCGTTGCATCGCCAGCCCCGTAAATGCTCCAGGCCAGCTCCCACAGGTCGCACGTCTTCACTCCTGCGATGCTGCATTCCCCAAGGTTGGAGGGCATATCGACGTAGAGCTTGCGAGCGATCGACTCGCCTTGCAAGCGGCCTCCCTTCGCGCCGGCCACGGCCAGGTCAAGGTAAAGGCTTGACACGGCGCTGCGGACGAGCAAGATCATCTGTGATGACACTACACGCGAGTCTCGTCGAAGCACGTCGCCGAAATCGCCCCCGCGTCCACCGCGCCCACAAATCCTTGCCCGTGGCTCGAAGGTCGCGGGGCCGTAGTCTGTCCAGATCACCTCACACATGTCGAGCAAAAACTTGCCCTGGTCCTGCAGCATACTTGCACCGCGCATTCCGTGAATTCTCGACAGCCGTTTGCATCGCCCTCCACTTCATCTCGTCGCCACCCAGCGGCACCAGGTTGATATCCCGGTGCTCGTTCGCCCTCGCAAGCTCGCGAATCCATCTCGCCGCGAGCGCCTCGACGAGCAAGGCGCCGGCGAGGTGCCTGATTGGGCCAGCCTGGCCCGCTGCCCTGTCGATGCCGATCGGGGCGTCGCCCAACAAGAACTCCCACTTCAGCGTGACGGGATTGTCCTGCCGCTTCCCTCGGTAAGAATGCCACGTGCTTGCACTGGATGGTGCTTCTTTGGTTTGAGGTGTACGGCCCGTTGGCGCCGCCCTTTGCCCTGGCGGCGCTAGGGGTGGCGCCGCCGCCGTCGCCTCGGCCATGAAGCGCTCCTCCGCACTCCCGTGAGAGCCTGCAACTTCCCGAGGTCGTACAACGCGTCGTCTTTCTTGGTATGCCTGTACTTCAGGTCCTTCTTCGGCCTCCTGTGCTTCACTCCACCTCTTGGCCTCGCTGCGTCTTCCCCTGCCGAACCATCGTGT